TCGTCTGTGCGTTAAGTGGGAAGTGTCAAGGTCAGGAACTGCCTCCCAGAAAAAAGGAGCTGTTCTACTTTCTGACACGATGACACGCGTCGTGTGAGTTGAAAGCACCGCTCTGATTGGCGTGGTTCAGTTCGACAAACAATTTAAAGACCTGATCAGATTTGTTGCACAATCCCAAGGCTCGGAATCTGAGCTGAATTTGCTTGCAAGTGTTCCAAAATCCACTGATGAAGATTTCTCGGTCGATACACGAACAGATGATCGATATACAGCATGTGAGTGTAGAGAGTGCGCTCCGCAGAGAAAACTCGTTCAAATGATCGAGAAAGTTCCCAGGAGATTCAGAACTTCTGACCAATCCCGTTGTGTACCTGCAGCAGTTGCAGTATTTCCGACTAGGCTCGGCTGGTCCACGAAAGGGCACCGCGAGAGAGAGTGTCGACCGGAAAGTTCCTTCAAGCAACCCATTTCGGTCAGCGTAATCACTGTGACTACTCCTCGAATACCATGCAAGTGAGGCAAATCTCTCCTCTGCGCGGAGATTCTATTATCCTAACGCTACAATAAAGATCAACTGTTGAAATTCAAGGTAACGACTCGTTACTAACGAGGTAACTTGGGGAAACTCGTCCCCTCTGATGGAAATTTTATAACTGCTCAGACAGCGCTAAGCATCGAAAGCTGAATACGCTATGAGACATAGTATGAGTTGTAGCCTATCACTGTCCCAATGAATTTTCAAGTTGGCTCACATGCTCGAGTTTCGAGCATCTCGAGCTCTCAACTTGATCGGTCAGCTTCAGCACATTCCGTTCTTGATATTCGAGAGATCGAGTTTGGATCTATTCGAAAGGATATGACCCAAAATCGGCCTCACCGACAGAGAAATTGATTCCTACAACTCGTCGCAGTCGAATTTACTGTAGACGAAGCTGAACTCCGTAACGCATGCTGCCACGAAATTCGTTGTACTAAGGCATACATCGGGGTTACAGCATAGACGCCCGCGCGATGAAACTGGTTTTACTGGAAGCAGAGAAGATCTTGGAAAGGTGTCACATTGCTACCAGCAGGAACCATCATGGTTCAACCATGACATGAATTTATTTGCAGCTTGCCTTTGAAAATATACACCAGTTCCGATATGGCATATATCTTTTTGATGGTCACCATGGGAATGTAACCTGCTCCGAGAGAGCAGATCATCATCACGCGCAGATTCAACAGATTTATCACAAGTACTTCCTAAAGTTATTGCAGAGATTTTGCGTTGATCTGAATATATGGTGGATGGATATACTGTGATAGAGTAACTGTGATGGAGTAGCTATGTCATAGCTAATCCATCTATACCTGCTATGATAGTGTATCTGTGATGGAATACCTGTGATCGAGTAAATATGATAGAAAAACTGTTATAGTGAGTACTTTTGCGATCGTATTGCAAAGACCTAAAGGCGGAAAGTGCCACTCGTTCGACTAGTGTATCGAAGTGAAGTCCAGTTGACATGCTTCCCGAGATTTCCCGCGTTGGATGCTTCAGTGCTTAGACACTATCTATTTGATGACGTAATAGCACACACTTCAAGAGAATATCCAAGACTCCCATCACGGTGATGGCCTCACCTTGGTGTATGTAGATCTAATTCTCGAATCTTGCCAAAGACGAATCTCCTCGTATAAGTTATACGGTTCAACTCACAAATTCGATTCAGTAATGAATGCTAGGTTGCGACCTCGTGCAGTGTGTTAACATATCGGTGTACCACATTGGTATAATGAATAACTCCTTCCCTGACCCAACCTCTCTATTGTATAGAGTTTCAGTTCCCCTTCGACACCTCCTAGAGTGTCAGCTCGACCGCCATCCGCCAAAGTCACCGATAAATTAACAGACTGAAGTCTCAACGAGTCCGCAACTTCTGTACTCAAAATAAGATAGTTCTGGCCCAGACATTACAAAACTTCAAGGTTCAAGGCTTGATCTTGAGTCGATTCGCAGAAAAATTATTTGACCTTGGTTGATATTGACTCGATTCGTCTAATCAAGCCTTGATCTTGACTCGATCCCCTTGGTTCGTGAGCACAGGTTTGAATGCCATGCTCTACATTTCTCTCACTCTTTATGGCGCATGGGTTCTGTCCGTTTCTTATGTCATTCCCTCAGGCAACGATCTGGAACACGTTGAAAATAGGAGAATTTCCTGTTTCTAACATGTTCCAGATCATGATTTGAGACTCACCCAAGTTGTCGCCGCCGTATTATTCCAGTAACAATGCAGTGTTTCACAGTAGCTTCCTCTCCACTATGTCTGGATTCTCTGAATCATCCACACAATTCTCTGTCGGCTCCGCCTCGAGTAGCCTTAGTGTAGTTCCGCCAGGCATCTCTGCTAGTGCTAGTAAACGTACCCGCCGAGAATCTGTAGGCTCGGCAGTTGTATCGGTTGATCCTCCGGGAGGATTACTCCCCCTGGCGCTCACGCGGAGCCTCCATGCAAGCTCAAGCTAGACTATGCCAAGTACGAGTACACAGTTTAGAATAACTCCTTCTTTGGTAGTCTCTAGTCATGAGCTCATTGCATGCCTTAATATCATGATACAAGGTATTCCTACCGAGATATCCTGCATATCACGTGAAGGCACATATCTATTACATTTATCTGTTGTTTGATTCGATGAAATGCCCAGATGAACTCAACTTCCGAAGTTCGATCCTCGCTTCAACTAGACCCTGGTCACTACTGTAAAAAGCTAGCCGCTAGGAACTAGTAGTACGCTCCAGCTGAGGCAAAATTACAACTCCTTGACTCGGTTCGATTGGCGAGGAGCATTGCTCAACCTCGATTGACTCATATTGACTAATCAACCAATTTTCAAGGTCTCGACTCAATCGAGCCTTAATCCGATGTGTGTTCTGGCCCGTTTCATGGTCCGCGATGGTTTGAACCTGCAACTCTCGTGCCTCCCCATCTCTCACTCCTGGAAGAAAAAGGTTCGCCGTGAATCTCAACGGCGGCGTGAACTTCCCCGAAAAGGGTGCGCTGCAGTCGATAGCGTGAACAACGTAGGAAACAGATGGTAATGATACGACTTGCTCTGCATTGGAGCTAGGTTTTTTGTTATGCGAAGATTGATGATGGCAAAATGATGAGTGTTGAAGAAGATCTATCTGTTGATGAAGCGAAGGAGAAGAAGCAAAAAAAGAATATATGGGAATCAAGTGTACAGTGCCTTCTAGTTTTTTCCTCTCAGATCGTATTCTCGACTTCGGTACTGGGGGTTATTCTCAACAGCTTGTTTACTCCAATTTTCGCCTTTCTCGTACCCAAGAAGATAGTAGGTCCTCCTTTTCTTGTCGGTTTGGGCGAGAAGGTCATCGCTCCCAAAATCGTTGTAGATCCTAGCCTCTTTGTAGTTCCATGGTGCCGTCACGAAAAGGCAAAGCCTAAAGCGCTTGGCGAAGCGTTCACGTTCCCCATTGCCAGCGCTGGCCGAGGCTTCTTGCTTATCATCCTTCGACTTTGACTCGTTATGAGCCCTGCGTTCTTTCTCCATCTCGTCAATGGTGCTCTGGACTTGGTCAACATCAGCATCTTCGTCCCCATCATCTTCAGCTCCTTTGTGTATGTCCCAGTGACCCTGGGTTCCGGTCGCTCGTACCTGATCCCGGTTTCGCCTCCGATTGCTCGTCTGGTGCTTTCCCCCGGGTAGGTCTGCTTTACGCTCTCGCCGGCTTCTGTAGGCTGCCTTATCGGTCAACGCCGCTTCCCTATTAGTAGTCTCCAGCTCCGTCAGGCTTCTCACATCTTCCCAATCTCTGCAATCTCCATGTTTTCGCGCCAGATATTGTAGTTTTTGAACAGCATCCCGCTCGACAAAGTTTGGCAGTACTCCGATGGCCTGCCTTACAAGCCGCTTTCTCTCGGAGACATCGTCGGCATATACACTCATAAGGAGAGTGTATGCTCTCCGCAGCTGAGTGAGAAAGCTCTCGATCTGACCAGAGTTGTCACACTTGAACTCAGCGACGGCCTTGTGAGAATAGTCCTGGAGGTGATGGCGACGACAGTGTCGCCATCTGAGCATCTCTTTCAGGCCAGTCCATCGAGGAGTCCTTTGCTCTCGGATCCATGTTTGAGCTTCCGTGGCTACGCCGATTCCCCTCAGACTCTCCCCAACTTTGGAGAGTAGGAGGATCTCGAGCTCGTCATGGGGTACGAAGGATCCTTCTTTCCCGTTGTGATCCCCCATGCCGTAAGCCGTGAGAACGGACTCCTGGTGTTCGATGTGAGCCATCAAGTTGATGGCAGAGTTGATGGCATCAACTCTGCTTTTGCCTCGCATTGACAAAGGGTCACTCTCACTACGTCCCTCGGGAGTGCACGCAAGGAACTCTCTCTCCCGTGTTCCTTCCCGGGAGCCAAGTGAACCGATTCCTCAAAGGGTGAAACCGCTTTTTCACTCTCCCTTCGACGCTTAATCCCGGGCTCTGAGTCATGTCTGGAATACCTTTCTCGGTAGCTCATGGATGGCATCCATGAGTTTCCTGGTAAATCTGTCCTGCTGATCAAGGAGCTGCTTCCTCAGCTCTCACTGCTCCTCGACCAACCTCTCTATCGCTTCCTGGAATGACTCGCCAGGTGTCTCTCCTCTGGCTGGCCCCTGGGTCTCATGGTCGCTCGCATCGTCAGATTCTTCTCCGAGCGACACGAACCCCTCGGGACGCTCTCGAGCCTCGTCACGTTCCTCCTCCTCCCTCCTCAGCTCTTCCTCGATAGGATGTTCAGGAGGGGCCTCAAACTCGACTTCCCCCACGAGATCGTCATGGGGGTCTTGCTTATGTGATGTGAATGAAAGAGTACTTTTTTGGGCGGTTGGCCTGGTTTTAGCTACGGGAAGATCGATCAATTCACGTGTGCAGGCCAACTTGTGGTAGGAGGATCTGCCCACTCCTGTTGGCCAGTCTGTTAGCTGCGTTGTGTCGATTGCTCGCTATATGTAAATGGGCTCTAGTATCGACGACCCGATCACGACTTCGAGTACATCCGTCCGTGGCAGCTTCTTGTTAACTTATTGTGACTTATTGGTACTGGTACGATGGTTAATGGTCCTGGTCCTGGTGTTGTTCCTGGTCCTGACTCAGGACTCCTGAGCGAGGTTCCTCGGGGAGCCTCAACCGTGAAGATGGTTTCCCAGACCCGGCCGCCGAAGGGGAAAGGGCGGCCCGGGAGTGTGCAGACAAGGGTGGCAACGACGAGCTATGTGCTTGGGCCCGTAACATGGCTGAGGAGACCACTCGCCGACATAACGAGACTATCAAGACTACCTGGCAAGCCATTGGTTCCCACAAGGACTTCTCTTCATCTGAGCCATGTGAGACGCCGAACCGGCGTACGCGTGCACCGGGGGGATCGCATGGATGAGCGCATGCAGGCGGTCATCCAAGAGATCAAAGGGTTGAAGACGACCTTCCCGGGCGATGCCCAAGGAAAGGGAAAGCTGGTGAGAAGGCTACCGCCGGTGAAGAAGTGTCCTATTTGTCAAGGTGGCCATTATGTCTTCGACTGCCCGGAGAAGAAATATGAGAAAGGGTGCTTTCTTTGTGGCCAGAACGAGCACAGGGTACGTAGTTGTCCGCAGCTAAAGAATAAGGACTCGTCGGTAAACGAGGAGGGCGACCGCTGAGCAGCCCGCGGTCGCCTCCAGGGGATACGGTTCTCTATCCTATCGGTGGAGATCGAGGACTATTTCTGCTCATCGATTTTAGTTCCCCTCATGGTCAGTGGCGAGGTCTATTTCGTGCTTGGTGGACACTGGCTGCTGTGCCACCTTGGTATCTCTGTCTCAGTTGCCTGAAGGCCTCACAGTGCAGTCTGTGAATGGATGTCAGTTGATGACCGTAGACAAGTCCGAATTTGCCATTGTCGGCACCGTAAATCTTGAATTCTTTGGATATGAGTCTGCGGAGGCGGCGACAGCCTCTTATTTGGCCCGTCGCCAGGATTCTCCCAAGGGGCCCCGATCTACCATGTCTGTGTACGCTTGCGATTCGTTGACCTTTCCGATTATTTTGGGCCATGACTTTTTACGACATTTTGGGTTCAACGTGCTCTATGAGCAGAACCCGGTAGAGTTGAGGTATAGTACGGCCCGGAACGCGGGACCGGCTGCTCCATATGCGTTCGACTTGGGCTCAGCCAATGCGCTGAGATGGAAGATGAATACTGTTCGAGTGGGAGATAGCTTTGCCGTACCGTATGGCGGAACCCAGACGACGTCCCGGCAGGGGAGGAGTCTGATGGGTAGGGCGGCTCGTGACCCGATTGTGAATTCCGGTCAGGGCAGCCTGTCGCTGAGGCAGAGGGCAGCCGTCTCTACTCAGACAGAAAGACGTCGTGAGTTAATTAACTGGGGGCGAGAGCTCCTTGAGTGTGTTGGTGGGGAAAGCGTAAATAGTTCGGCAGCCTTGGCGCTTGCCAGAGGGGGAAGATGTGATGTGGCCTGTCAGACTGAGATAGAAAGCGATTCGGCTTGCGCACCTCGAGACGAGGGGCAGCCAGATTTTGGAATCGCTAAGCATATAGAGGGACGGCCCACTCGGGATGAGTGGGATAGTTTACTTGATGGTTTTCAAACTATTTCGAATGACCCCGTCCGATCCGTCTATGCTTTGGCCGCCCAACCCCAGGTACAGCCCCTCACCGATGAGGAGTTGGCTCAGCAAGGGCTGAAGGTCCCTGGTGGAGGACAGATTCGGTCGTTTGCTCCAACGCAGCTGCCAAAGGGGTGCTATTCTGACCACCCCACATAAGTGGCCTCCTCCTGGTTGCGATATGAATGAGCTCGACGACGACGATATTGCGGGTGCACTGCGTTTTGCCATTCCAGACTTCCGTGCCGAGGAGAGACAGCTCCCTGAGATTGACAGAGGAAGCCTGAGCTGGGGCCCTTCCAGGCACTCTGCGGAGGAATAGCTGAAGTTTGGTCAGCTACTTTCCCTTCGGCCCGGACAATGCGATAAGGTACAGCATCGGGTGAATACCCATGACGACACCCCGGTGGTGGAGCGAGTCCCGTATCCCATAAGTGGCGGGAAGATATTGAGGCTCAGCTTCGGGAGATGGAAGAACTCGGGGTCATCAAAAGGTCTACGTCGGCCTGGCGACTTCCTTGTGTTTATGTCCCCAAGAAGAATGGGAAGGTTCGCATGTATGTAGACTACCGCACTACTTGGTAGTCTTTACTTAAGAAGTGTTGCGCTTACTTGAAGAAGCTAACCTGACGATCGCCGGAGACAAGTGTGAGAGGTTACCTACCTTGGGCGCATCTTCAATGGTCTTCCGGGGTATGACCCCGGATGCGGCAAAGGTCGAAGCAATACTTCGTTGGCCTGTTCCTACAACGGCCAGCGAACTGAGGTCGTTTGTCGGCCTGGCTGGGTATTATCGACATTTTGTTAGCCATTTCTCTTCGGTGGTGAGACCTCTGTATGCCTTGGAGTCCGCCTGTAAGAAGAAGAAGAGAAACAGCCTCTTGGATAAGTGGAAGGAAGAGCACGATACGACTTTCCTACACTTGAAGTGTGGCCTAGCGTCCTTGCCGGCATTGGCGTACCCCTAATTCGAGCAATCTTTCCAGTTGGTTACAGACGCCTCCGACTACGCCATTGGTGCAGTATTGGAACAACAAGGAAGGCCTCTGGCTTTCTATTCTGGTGCACAGTTGAGCTGGCCTGTTTATGAAAAGGAGGCCTGTGCGATATTCAAGGCGTTGGACCACTTTCGTAGTACGAAATTCGTACGTCCTTTTTGGGTTACCCTCTAGATTTGATCGTATTGTCCGATCACCGGTTTTGCAGTGGATAACAACCTCCAATTCAGCCAAAGTTCAGCGTTGGCTACTGGCAATGAGCCAGTATTCCTTCACTGTACGATATGTGGAGGGAAAGGCCAATAAGGCTGCCGAGGCGCTCCGAGGTTACGGCCCCAACGAACGAGACCCTGCAAGAACTGCCGTCTGTACCGGCCGCAGCCGCTGTTCCCCAGGACGATGACGATATACCGTGGCCTTTTCCTCGATTGCCAGCAAGTTGTCGACCGGCCTGCGTATTGTCTATTGCCGAGCACTGGTCCAAGGAGGATATCGGGCGACAGCAAGATGACGATCCCATTATTGCTGAGGTGAGGGAGCGACGTCGAAGCCCCCAGCCACTGGCAAGGATGGAGTTCAAGATACCCCCACTTCGACCATTTAAGAAGTTATGGAATGCGTTGGATGTTACAGATAGTATCTTAGTACGGTTGGCTCACTTCCTGCCCAAGGACGAGGCGAGATGGGTCCCGGTGATAGCGTCTTCCAGCCGGCAGACACTCATGCAGCACTTCCACGAGCATGATGGTCATTTTCGACAAGACCGAAATCTGAAGAAGTTACGGCGTTTTTGTTACTGGCCTACCATGACTGAAGATGTTGCTGAGCATGTAGCGGCCTGTCGAGAATGTCAGATTGCTAAAGGACATCGGCCACCTATTGGCCCTGCGATGCCTTTACCGGCTGGTACGCCCTGGAGAACCGTGGCTGTTGACTTACTCACGGTGGCCCCCGCGTCTGATGGTATCTCCAAGCGACTGGTGGTGGTAGACCACTTCCGATAATTTACGATGCATATCCTGTGAGAGGAGAGTCGGCCGAAGAGGCAGCCAGATATTTGTTGCATTTGTTTTCTATCTTTGACCCTCCTCAACGTTTGCTCTCGGACCAAGGTCCAGCTTTTGAGAGTCAGTTGTTCTTAGAAGTCTTACAGTTGGTCGGTGTGACGAAAGCGAGAGCCAGTGTATATCATCCATGTGCCAGTGGGGCCGTGGAGTGGATCAACGCTACGATTTTAGGCCTGTTAAGAACTCATGTGTCTTCGGGAAATTGGAAGCAATGGTTACGGCCTTTGTTGTGGTCGTACAATACCTCGGTGCACAGCAGCACGGGGTACAGCCCGTTCTACTTGATGTTTAATCGGGAGTCTCGATGCTTTTTTCTGCCTTCTTTTGATCAGTAAACAGAGTTTTTGTTTGATCCTGCAGGCTACATCGAACATGCGTCCTTCGTCAAGGCCCGACTAGCAGATATTGTCGACCAGTGGGTCGTCAGCCGCTCGTCAGCCTATCGTCAGCAAGCTAGGGCTGGTCGTCAGCAGAGGCGTGTATTCTATGTCGGCCAACGAGTCATGCTGAGGGTATTCCGAATGGCGATTCCCGGTCACAAGCTCCTACCTCGTTGGCAACCTAATTGGTATGTGTTGTAAGTTTGTCCCGGGCACGAATGGCAAAGCGGTTGTATTACGTCGATTG